GGAAGAGTGATATAATTTTTCTAACATTGCATCATCCATATGATCGGCTATAAGGACGATGTCATCTGCAAATCTCAAATGACTGAGCTTCTCTTCATTTATATTGATCAGATATTGATCAGCTCGTTCAGATGTGCCTTCTTACAAGTATGTTCTAAAAGCGTCGTAAATAGTTTTGGAGAGACTGTGTCTCCTTGCCGTACACTTCGCTGTATAGGTACAGAATTTACTTGTTTCTTGATCAGATAGTCTTACGCTAGCTGCGGCATTTTGGTAGACATATTTGATTATGTTAGTGTAGCGATAATATATTCGGCATTCTGTCAATGCTTTTAATATTTTCTGATGGCTTCATAGATAATGATTTCGATAGACGTGAAGAGTTTGCAGACATTATGATGAAAAATGTTCATGTTTAATTATCAAAAGGATCCAAATTTTTTAAGTAATTTTTAATTAAATAAGGCCACTTTTTTTAATTAATGGAAAGTAAATCAGCATAATTGTAGATACTGGTGACGTAACATTCCTCGTTCGATGTGTCAATACCACACACAGTATTAGGAAAAACTTAATGTATGGGCTGGAATAATAGGCTATAAAATTATTGGCCATTTTTTAATTGGAGGAAACTTAAATAGTCTGGTGTATTTAGATTTATTGGAAAATAGTATTATTCCTAAGTTGGCCTAGTTATTTCCAAAATCCAAGTATTTTCAATTACATTTTAATGTAGAAATTTTGTTTTTCGCAACTTTCAGACAATAACAATATCCCAACCGACAATATTTGGCTGCAACAATATGGTACTTCACCTCACTATATGCAAATGGTAAGGCAATACCTAAATAATAGAGAAACCCACCAGATGTATTTGAAGGCTTGGTATTATAGAATGGTCCCCATGATCACCGGACATGAATCTTTTAAATTTAGTATATTAACTATGGAGTTACTGAAAAAATATAGTTTATAATTTAAAACCGGCTAATATTTAGGTGTAAAAAAAAGGATTATTACAGAGATAAGAAGAATTGACCAGTCAGGGATGTTGTCAAATGATTGCAATGTTTTAAAAATGTATTTAAGTCTTCTCCCACGTCTTCTTGTATTTAAGTAAACAGACAACATTTTGAAAATCTGATGTAATCTCCTTTACTGGTTTTTTTAAAATTCCGAATTTGTCCAATATTTAAATATTGACATACGTCTAACATGAATTTGTTTTCAGTTGCTGTAGATTTTCTGCGCTACGAGTTAAATAAATCTTTTACTACACCAGTTTCGTTGATTTTTTTTTTGTTTAACGTGGAAAATAAAAAATAATCAGTATTTCTTAAGGACATCGAAAAGCAAAAAATATACAGGGTGTTCCATTTGAAATAAGTTAATTAAATTTCGATAGGTAAACGGAAGATAACAATGTAATTACCACTAAAATATGGGCTGCATGTATATATATTTATACATAAAGCAGTTGAGTAATATTGACTGACCCGTTATGAAAAAAAATATTTGCTTCTTCAGGATATACTAAAATAAGGTTGTCATTATTTTATCAGCAAATATAATGAAATTAAAACGAAAAACAATGCAAAAAAAATTTACATGAGGTTAATTAAATTTTGGACATTATCACAAAACATTAAAATTCTTAATTTCATTGTTTTTACTGATAAAATAATTACATTCTTACTTTAGCATATCCTGAAGAAGCAAATAAATTTTTGTAAAAGCCAGATTAGTCCCAGACATCAGAAAGTTGACCCCTTAAAATCATACAAACAAGATGAATTTTTCAGAGAATATCTATTTTACGACCCAAACAAAGTTGCAAAAAGTTTAGCACTCTGGAAACCCCCAGGCGTCCCCCTGAACTCCCCCTCCACAGGGGTAAAAGCACAAAAAAAATTAATTTACCAAGAACCTGTACGCCGTAAAAAAAAATATTTCACGTGAAAATTGTAGCTGAGATGATTTTGAACAACAATATTAATTGGCACTTTTTCTGTAGAATGTTAAATAAAATCGCAGGCGAAATCTATATTAAATCAAATGTGTATCAAGTCGATGGCAAAAGTGCGATATCTTTTGTTCAGAGTGTCCTATGGACAAAAATAAAAATGCGTTTTAAAGCAGAAGAGTACATCTTTTTTGTACAAGTTTTGAATTTTGCCACAAATGAAGTTTGTTTCTATAAATCTAGCCAGTAAATAAACGTTGCGCGATTTTTGTTTTTTTTTTTTTAAATTGTTGTGTGATATATGATGTGAAATAAAATTTATCACTTCAAATTAACCGGTCGTAGTGATATTTCGATTTATAGAGACCAGTCTTTAAAACCTATAACAGAAAATATGAAGTTTAAGTTGTGGGCAACAAATGTAAGGTAAAATCATGAATGTGTTGCTTGTGTGAGTCCATTTCAAATAGGTAAAGAAATAATAAATAAGACTTACTCACAATCAATTTAATTTAACTATCAGACGACCGGTTTCGCTTTCTACAATATGCAAAGCATCCTCAGGTCTCGATACAAAGTTAAACAAATGTTGAAATAATAAAAACCCATATTAGGGTGTTGTCTAATAACGATAAACAAAGTAGATGTTGTAAATTACAATAATTATGCCAATATTACATGTCTGTGGTTTTATTTAAATGAGTAAGTTGAATAAAAAGTATAAAAGTTTAAACAGACAAGGTAAGGTCCACAAATTGTTATAAAATAGTCTCTTCGATTGTAATAAATTAATAAATAAGCAAATAAATAAAATAAACATTACTTACATGCCGGTACTCTATTAATTGATGGATGGTAGAACATGGTTGAAACTACTATGTATTGTTGAATGCAGAACTCAATTCTATTATTGCAGTTGTTTGACAGTAAACGGGAAGTTCTTGAGGAGATAGATTTGATCCAATGAAGAAGAGATATGTGTGTGATTGTTTGTTAAATGAAAGTGATGTAATATACCATTGTGTTATTAAAGTTATTTATACTTATTCGAGAGATATATTTTTGAAATATGTGTTATTTATTGAGTAATTGTTTTATGAAGGTGACAGTTTTATGACAATGAATAAGTTTAGATGTAAAAATTGTGTGGGTGTGCAATTATTTTCCAACTTGTAGTTATCAAATTATAGAGAGGAGAGAAATAAATAGAGGATCATTCTACCTGTTCGTATAACAATTTCCGGTTCCAACTGTCAGATATTAGAACTACCAACTAATTATTGAAAGCTTTATAATTCAGTCAATTTCTTGAGCCCATAAATTAATAATTCCCATCAATAATTATCCATTTGTTACTTTGGTTATATATTAGTATATTAGATATTGATATATCAGAATTTGAAATAAATATCTCAAATAATTAAAAAACACCCTGACAGATAACTCACACCTACAACAATTTCAAATAAAAATAAAAAACTTTGTAAATTTATTATACATTTGATTATAAAATGTACATGTTCAGTTGCCAAAGAATTACTTTAATTTGTTCAGTAATTTGGACATTAGACTGATTTAGTTATATTGTAGGATGTATTTCAATTATCCATATTGTTACATTAAATTTGATTAATTAAAGATTGTTAAAGTATGCCAATATTAAACACATCAATTTACTTTTGATATCTAAATTGAAACAATTTATAGACATTCATTAATAACAGCATATTTCATAAAACTAGATAACTTAACTTACAGTATTGAGAAACAGAAGAAGAACTGTCACATGCTAACCTACATCTGTCAAATTTACCACTAAAATCTAATAGATGAAACATAAAAAAACTCATTGTGCCCAAGACTGAGATGTAGTGCATTTAAAGCCCTTTCCCCCTTTTAAATTCAATGTTTGTTTCGTCCCTTCTAAGTGTTTTCTGTTTTAGTGTGTTTAAATTGTCCTTAATTGTTTGTATTTTAATATTTTATTTACTTGACTGTTCAATAATTTACTAATTGCCAATAGAACTTTATCAAAGTAATTTGATAACTACAAGTTGGAAAATAATTGCACACCCACACAATTTTTATATCTAAACATATTCATTGTCATAAAACTGTCACCTTCATAAAACAATTACTCAATAAATAACACACATTTCAAAAATATATCTCTCGAATAAGTATAAATAACTTTTAATAACACAATGGTATATTACATCACTTTCATTTAACAAACAATCACACACATATCTCTTCTTCATTGGATCAACTCTATCTCCTCAAGAACTTCCCGTTTACTGTCAAACAACTGCAATAATAGAATTGAGTTCTCCATTCAACAATACATAGTAGTTTTAACCATGTTCTACCATCCATCAATTAATAGAGTACCGGCATGTAAGTAATGTTTATTTTATTTATTTGCTCATTTATTAATTTATTACAATCGAAGAGACTATTTTTATAACAATTTGTGGGCCTTACCTTGTCTGTTTAAACTTTTAAAACTTTTATACTTTTTATTCAACTTACACATTTAAATAAAACCACAGACATGTAATATTGGCATAATTATTGTAATTTACAACATCTACATTGTTTATCGTTATTAGACAACACCCTAATATGGGTTTTTATTATTTCAGCATTTGTTTAACTTTATATCGAGACGTGAGGATGCTTTGCATATTGTAGAAAGCGAAACCGGTCGTCTGATAGTTAAATTAAATTGATTGTGAGTAAGTCTTATTTATTATTTCTTTACTTAAATGTAAGGTATTCGAAATATGCCTAAAAACGCAGAATACAAACTTTTTTATTACAAACAATCCCACGTCACGGGAAATACATCCAAGAAGATGATTTTGAGTGAACTCGTAGCAGAAGATAGGTCGTTTTAAAAAACGTACTAACATAATTAAAAAAGAACAGTTTTAAATGTTTTAGATGGTTTGTAATGTGAAAATTTAAATTTATATGTAATGTGCAAGTATAACTTATTATATATTAAATATTAAAATTTCTTTTTATATATTAGGTACAGTGATGAAGAAACTCTTGGAGAATACGACGAGAGTGAATACTGTATCGAAATGGTGTCACCGGAAACTCCAGACTCCGTATCGTCCAAAGCAAAAACTGGTTTAACACAATCCAACACTAGTCTTAGCCATAGTTCTTATTGCTACACAAATCAACAATGTTACGATATAGACAACTACGGTTCAAGTCAATATAAAGGGTATACAGTGTGTGACGACCAACACGTAGCCAAATGTATCGATGATACCAGACCAAAAATCATGGCAGCCATTTATAAAAATACACTAAAGAGAAGTCCTAGTACGGAAGATTTACATATGGCTTCTATAAACGGGGGGTTAGTGGAGGATAATACAGTTCTACGAAACTCGTCTAATAGGTAAGAATATAAGTGTATTTTGTTTTTATTTTAGTATTTGAAACTTCAAATTATTGCAGAGATTATTACAATTCTTTTTTAACGTAGCAGTGTATTTTACATACCTTAGTTCTTTTTATATAAAATAGACAACAATATATTTAACCAATTTTAAATTGTAACAATATAACTACAACTAACGTTGGGAGCCAATTGTTTGACCTACCAAGTGTAGGTATGTCTTACCTTAAGTGCAAATCCGAGCAAAGAGAAATGACAGGAACAAATAAAAGATGATAATTAACGAATCATATTTATTATGCAAAAAAATTAAAATACAAATTTAATATGAATATAATAATATTTATTTATTGTACAAGATGATAAAATTGTACTTTATCTTCGAGAGCGTTTTTTAGCGTCGAGACGTCAGTCGAGACGCTAATGATGCTCGAGAAGATAATGCGATTTTAATATCGTGTGCAATGCAACATTTTTTTCTATAGCAAGACTTCAAATTCAATTGAAAAATAGAATTTCAAAGAAAATTGTAATTTTTAGAACAAAAATCGCAATTGGGTTGCTTCGTTACTAGGAATATGAATTACTCTGTCAACAAATGTCAAACAAATGTTACGTTTTGGTTTTTGCGGAGAATATTGTTGCGTTTTGTGTACAAAGTGAATAAATACGAAATGGACAGAAAAGACTTGACACAAGAAAAGGAAAACCTGCCATCAGATGTATAAAATGCAGCGTTGGAAGCAGAAAGTTTATTAACTTTGAAAAAAAAAAAGAAAACAAAAACATCTGTTGCTTTCATTGACCTATCAGCTGCATACAATACTGTCTGGAGACAAGGACTAAACTGCAAACTAATCCGTGCCGTCCCGTGTCAAAAGGTAACTAAACTCATTGATAACATGCTCACCGACAGACCTTTTCAAGTCACAATAGACAATTCAAAAAGTTTCCAAATGAAGCTCAGCAATGGACTGCCACAGGGATCTGTTTTGGCACCCTTATCTGTTCAATTTATATATCGCGGATCTACCTAGGACAACTTCGCTGAAATTTGGCTACGCTGACGATTCGGCCATTGCAGCAAGACATAATAACATGGATATCACAGAAACAATATTAGCGGATGACCTTGCCATTATGGGAGAATACTTTCGCAAATGGAGGCTACGGCCTAATGCAACGAAAACCGAAGTGTGCTGTTTCCATCTGAATATTGCCCAAGCCAACAAAAAACTCTCCATCCACTTCGAAAACAGACTGCTCACTCATAACTCGACACCAAAATATCTTGGAGTGACTCTGGACAGAACATTGAGTTTTAAAGAACATCTTCAAAGAACGGCAGCAAAGCTGAAAACGAGAAATAATATAGTCCAAAAGCTATGTGGCACTACATGGGGGTCACCAGCCTCCGTACTCAGATTATCCGCTCTCGGACTTGTATACTCGGTGGCTGAATATGCTTCCCCGGTATGGCTCAATAGCAAACACACAAAGATTATTGACACTCAATTAAACCAGACAATGCGAATTATCTCAGGTACAATTAGACCCACACCGAACTATTGGCTTCCCATTCTGAGTCACATTCCACCGCCGAAACTGCCAAGAAGTCATTCTCTTCTCAGAGAATATCGAAAATTGAGGCTAACCATCAACTACCCATACACCAAGATAAGCTTGATATCGAAATAAACAGACTGCGCTCCAGATATCCTCCATTGCTAAGAGCCAACTCCTTACATCAAGAACATTTTAACCTGACCAAAGCTTGGAGAACACAATGGGAAAGCGACTCACCACAGGAAGCACATCAAATGTATCGATCAGAAATCGCCAGGCTTTGAACTTACCCGCAATACATGGACAACGCTAAATAGAATAAGAACAAGCAGCGGTAGATGTGCTGACAGCTTATATAGATGGGGAAAAGCCCTTACTCCTGAGTGTGACTGTGGTGCGCAACGACAGACCGTCCGTCACATTGTTGAAGAATGTCCCCGAAGGCGATTCCCTGGAGTTTTCGATGAGTTCCTGAATGCGACCGAAAATGTTTTACATTATATTAATAATACATTAGATATTCGTTTGTAATACTTCATGTAACGTTTTATATTGATTTTTTAATTGTGTGTTCTTATTGTATGCCATACGATAAATAAATAAATAAATAACTTTGAAAAATTAAGGCAAATATCGAGCACAAGTTTAATAAAATCTTGCCCAAGTACTTTCGCTATCTACAGCATCATCAGGGGCATTTCGTCAAATTTGGGCTATCCAGCAAGCGTAGAATGTAATACACATGAGAGTGGACATAAATTGTACGTAACGCTACATTAACACAATTCTGCGTCGTATGCCTTCATTTCTACCTCGGTTACAAAGCGATATACTCAGCATTGACCTTTCCATTTTTTTCTGAGCTATTTGCAGCTTTTTAAAAGTTATAGTTGTTAATGTCAAAGTTTCGGCACCATAGGTCATCAGAGGCAACGCACATTGGTTATTCTTTTACGTTTTAAAGAAATTGGTATATCGCCTTGAAAGATGTCTTTGAGTATTTTATAGTTCCACACTAGCACAAACTAAGTGCATTGTACATATCTCCTTGAGGTTGTCTGAGAACAAAACAATGTCGTCTGCGAATTTCAAATTTGTTAATCTTCTACCGTCAATGTTTACGCCTTTCTCTTCCCAGTTAAGTTTTTACAAGCAGATTCTAGTACTGCGGTAAACAGCTTAGGCGATTAGGTATCACCCTGTCGGACTCCTTTGCCAATTGGGATATGATCCGTGTTTTTATGTAGTTTCATCGACATAGTTGCGTTGTTGTATGTATTGTAAATTAACCTTGTATATTGGTAGTTAATGTGGCATGGCTGTAGTGCTGACTGGATTTTGTCAAATTCTACCGTGTCAAAGGCTGTATGGGAATCTACAAAAGCCAGAACAAGTGGTCGATTGTATTTAATCATTTTTTTCAAATCTGGTGCGAAATCTCACTTGCTCTATTGGCTGATAGAAATCAAGTTTTTTCTCAAAACGATTCGTTACCATTCTTATAAGGAGTTTGTATTGGTAAGAAGACTTATAGGTCTGTTGTTTTCTAATTAATGGAGATCTAATTTTTTGTATAATAAAATTACCTCATCATTGTGCCATTTGTCGGGTATATTTTTGTCCAAAAGGCACATGTTAACAAGGTTTTTTATTTTCTTAAGTAGGCAAGTGCCTTCGATTATGATTGCATTAGTAACTACAGAATCTTTGCTGGAAATTTGTTATTCTTAGCTTTTCTTAGGGCTAGTTTTATTTCGTCCATTATGATCTGATCCTTGATTGACAATGACCTTTTTCCTTGTTAATATTTCTGGTACTTGATCTTCTCTGCTATTTGCTTTATGTTGGCTTATGTACAGCAATTTGTAGAAGTCTTCAACTATTTTTTAAGGTTTTCCTCTTTGTTGGTTGTAAGATGACCATTTTTATCTTCAATCTTTATTATCTACCTTGTCCTTGTTTATAGTTTTTTTTAATAATTTCATACTTTTATTGTTCTCAATAGCATGTTCGATTTGTTCTTGGTCGTATTTTCAAGTGTCTTATCTAACAGCTTTGGACATTTCTATATTTAATTTTTGTAGTTCGTCGGCTTTAGTTTGCGTCTCGCTTCTCATTTCTCTTCTTTTCTGCATTAGTTGCCTGGTATTTTGACTAGAAGGTATTAGAAGCCAGAAATTAAATGTTTGTATTGAAAAGTTTTTTTTTTATTTTATATTGGAGGTAACTATTAATATTAAATTACGTGTGGTCGTGGATTTCGTTAGAAAGTCAGTTTTCCGTATAGAAGTATATTTTTTAACAAGGAAACCATTGCTACTAGTTTGTTGTGGACAATTAAAATTTGTTTTATTATTATTATTATTATTTAAAGGATAGTTAATAATACTGTCAAGTAGTTTTTGATCTGATCAGATAATTATTAGGAATACATTTTTTGGTATTTGTCAAAGCATTATTTTATTAAGTGTGAATTTTTGCTTTGTATATATATATATATATATATATATATTATATATATATATATATATATATATATATATATATATATATATTGTTATGCTATTTAAATTGTATTCTATTGCTTATTTAGAAAAGATCTTGTCTATATTTATTAAATGATCTAATCTCCAATTAATCACAATAAATCAGCATTAATTAATTACAATCTCAGGCTATTTAACTTGAACTATTTACCTTTGATCGTGGATTCAAAATATTTTCCAATTGGCTTCCTAATTGGGATAGGTAATATGACCTGAATAAAATACACAGAATTTCAACTGAACTATATGTGAGATGTCCTTTATTTTAATGAAATTTTATATAACAATCAATCCTGTAATATTTGCAATATAATACTTTAAATATATGAGAAGTTGTTTTCTATCATGGACCCAAATGTTATTTTACATTGATTTTTAATATGTCTTATAACTAAGCTCTCTTTCTAATTTTTTCTTTAAATGATCGCAAAATTAACTGTCTCTATTATTTATTCAATTTATTTAATTAATAAATGAAAACCACACTCCTGCTCTAATGAAAATTGACTGACCTTTCGTTCTCTGCCGTTGCAATTCTATGACCACGCCATAAAAAAACCTTTCTCTGCTTCTGCTCCTATTGTGGTCCAGATGACGTACACCTTTCTCCTATCTGTCCTTGTATCTGCAACCCAACAACTCGTGTAATTCTATGCAGCCTCCTTTTGAACCAATCTCCGCGCCTGTTTATAACTTCAAATGTTTCCGGCTTCGTCTGATATTAATATTCTTATACCCTTTGGTTTTTCTATCGCTCTGTACCCCGTTCCTCACACTGATCAGCTTTTACACAGCAAATAAACACACCCGGTAAATTACGTCTTCGGGACTTCAAACAAACACAAACCACAAAGCTCCTTCCTTCTTGGGCGACGAAAACTCACTAACTCTCTCCTCTCTCCTATCTCATAGCCAAAAAAACTACCTCCTTGCATTCAAAAATTGACCAATCAAAATCATCCACCTCTGTGACGT